ATCACCAACATGAACAGCAACATCAACAGCAACATCACCAACATGAACAGCAACATCAACAGCAACATCACCAACATGAACAGCAACATCAACAGCAACATCACCAACATGAACAGCAACATCAACAGCAACATCACCAACATGAACAGCAACATCAACAGCAACATCACCAACATGAACAGCAACATCAACAGCAACATCACCAACATGAACAGCAACATCAACAGCAACATCACCAACATCAACAGCAACATTACCAACATGAACAGCAACATCAACATCGGCAACCGCCGCAACAGCAGCCCCAAACTATCGAGTAAGTTTTGCAGTGGTTATTGATGCGCAAAAAATTATTACTAACGATCATAATCCCAATTCTACCTATCCAAATCCCATTCTGACCTTTATGATTCCGTTTCATGATTTGTTTTTTTTTTCATGACCCATTCTCTTTGACGATTCCGTCCAATTTATTTAAATTTGGTTTTACTTTTGCCTCTTTTGTTTCCCTCTTTTACGTTCCCATTTATTTGAATCATTAATATCATATTCATTGATAATAGAACGCGTAATGATTTAACACGGGAATGGCCAGAATGGCCATATACCGTATATACTCCAAACAAAGAGAGGTCCAATGTGATAACGGGTGTCGATATCTCGCCGGACGAGGCGAAACTTTGGTTCGAAATCTTAGGAGAAGAAGAATATGTAAGCATTTGATGGATGAATCATAACTTTTTTGAGAGATTGAGCGCGGTATTTGTTATTCGCTGATTGTTGATGAGGTTTTATTTGCTGCAAACTTTTCTGATATTTTGCTTTATTCGATTTCTAGTGCCTGGAGGATGCAGGACTTAGACGCCAAATAACACAAATCAGACACAATGTGTTAAACAATACAAGCCAACAGCCGGCATCAAACATTTCTGGTGATGGTAGAACACAACCTGGGAATACAATTCACCAGCAATCGACTATATATGGTCAACCGCAACAGAGCGGGACGTTTGGCCAATTCGTGCAGAATGTACGTGGAAATAGTGAATTCAACCAGCAGAGTAACTTTGGTCAGAATTCGTTTGGACAATCAGGAAGAATTCCCCAGTCGAATGGGGTTCCTCAGCCATATCAGTCATATCAGGTTCCTCAGTCGAATGTAGTATATGGGGGTTTTATTAACAATAGCACCAACCAACACAGAGTGTAATGCATTCGTGAATTAGTTGGATGGGATTTAATATTAGTATCAATATCTTTTACGTCCATTGTGTAAACCTTAGTAGTTATATATGGAAACATTGCAACAAAGTCTTAAGTTAGCAAACATGAACATAAAGTGTTTTAGTATTATGGACAAATTGTTATATTGCGGATAAGGGCATTTCTAAATGCATGATTTACGGTGTAAACATATGAATTATGTGAATCGTAATAAATTTTGAAGCTAATTGGTTGGACTTTCAAAAAAAAAATAACGTAAAATTTTTATCAGTCGTTGTAAGAAAGGAGTTGTTCGTTAAAGTATATACGTTACACATATTTTTCATAGATTTTTCATATGTGTAACATTGATACTGCCACTAACGATAAATTCAATTTAGACTCGAATGTAAAAAACACGTCGATATTTGTCTGCCTCTTTTGCTCAATGCGTTTCATAACAATTTTTTTTCTAA